CCACAGTAGATTCCAGAAACCACAGATAGTACTGAACAACACATAAACAATCATGCATAGGTTGACATTTTGATTAACAACAGATGGCTTATACAATGGTGGTCTTATAAGATCTTAATAAGCTATACCTTATAGTCCAGGTGTATAATAGGTATACCATCTATGATTGTGTAAGCACACGCTATGATGTTTACACAATAAACCTACTCAATGACAAACCTACTCTCTCTCTCTCTCCCTCTGGTCAAAATTAAAATAAATAAAGTTAAATGAAATATATATTTTTAAAAATACAGTATTACTTTTAGGGGCTGGCAGGTGGCTTGGGGATTAAGGGTACTGGACTCCCACATGGCCAACTGTGAGTTTTGGTCCCAGACCTGGTGGCTTGCTTTCTCTCTCTCTCTTTCATTTTGTCCTTCTCTAGTCAAATTAAAATTAATCAATCAAATAAAGTTCAATAAAATTTTTAAAAAATACAGTATTACTTTTAAAAGAAGATACAGTATTACTTTTAAAAGAAGATACAGTATTACTTTTAAAAGAAGATATAGGGGCAGCAGGTGGCACTGTGGCTAAGGTGCTTGATCCCACATAGCCAACTTCCCAGACCCAGCAGCTTGAAAAACAGATCAGGCGGTTTCAGTTTTTGTGATTGTCTGCGAAGGCCAGGATTGTGTGGCACGAGGATTGAGGGCTCTAGAGCCCAGCCTCGAGATGAGGAACGCAGGGCCAGGACAGGTGAAAGGATGAGTTGTCCAAGCCACACAGCTAATTCAATAGCAGAGCTGGGATTAGAATTCAGATTTCCTGCCTCCCAAGATTGTTAAAATGAGTCTGCAGAAGCAAATCCCCAGTGATTTCTTGGAGCAAATCATCCAACGGCCAGTTGTGGTAAAATTAAATTCTGGAGTGGATTATTGAGGGGTCCTGGCTTGCTTGGACAGTTAAAGGAACACAGCTCTGGAGCAGACAGAAGAGTATGTGAATGGCCAATTGAAGAATAAGTATGGGGATGTGTTCATCCACGGAAACAACATGTTGTACATAAGTACACAGAAAAGAAAGATGTAGCTCTTTCCCACTGTACAAGATGGCAGGTGAAAAAGCTGTGAAGCAGGATATAAAGGAAAAGAAACCTGAAGCCAAGAAGGTTGATGCCAATGGCAAGATTAAAAAGGGTGACCCCAGGGCTAAAAAGCCCAAGAAGGAGAAGCCCCATTGCAGCCAAAACCCCATCCTAGTCTGGGGCATTGGCAGATACTCCCGGTATGCCATGTATTCCAGGAAGGCCATGTACAAGACGAAATACTCGGCTACTAAATCCAAGATTGAAAAGAAAAAAAAGGAGAAGGCCCTTGCCACTGTCACAAAACCAGTTGGTGGAGACAAGAATGGTGGTACCCGGGTGGTTAAACTTTGCAAAATGCCTAGGTATTATCCTACTGAAGATATGCCTCGAAAGCTGTTGAGCCATGGCAAAAAACCCTTCAGTCAGCATGTGAGAAAGCTGCGAGCTAGCGTCACTTCCTGGGACCATTCTGATCATCCTCACTGGATGCCACAGAGGCAGGAGGGTTTTCCAGAAGCAGCTGAGCATTGATTTCCTACTTGTAACTGGACTTCCGTTCCTCAATCGAGTTCCACTGCATTGAATGCACCAGAAATTTGTCATTGCCATCTCCACAAAAATTAATATTAGCAAAGTAAAAATCCCAAAGCACCTTACCGATGCTTACTTTAAGAAAAAGAAACTGCAGAAGCCCAGACCAAGAAGGTGAGACCTTCAATACAGAAAAGGAGAAATACGAGATTTCTTTCTTTTTTTTTGCTGGCCCCAACAAATATTTATTGAACACATACTTTGTGCCAAACAATGTCCAAGATCTTGGTATTACAGCCCATTTTTTTTTTTTCAATTTTAATTTATTTATTTGCATTCATTCACTGTACATCATTACAGCATACAAAATGAGATTTTCCATCCAGAGTACACTGTATATTGTCTCAATCAAGCACATCAACAAACATGTTATTGTCAGCAAATAATTTTCCATTTCTTGTTTTCTGCATGTTTTCCTTTTTTTTCCCCCATCCTTGATTCCCTCTCTCTTACCCTCTGCCATCTCCCACTCTACTCCCACACTGTCTCTGGTATCTATATTTGCTTTCTATAGAAATATGAGATTTCATAACAGCACAAGGTTGATCAGAAAGCTGTGTACTCGCAAATTTTATCAAAAATCAAAGCTGTTCCTTAGCTCCAGGGCTACCTGTGACCCATGTTTGCCCTTACAAATGGAGTTTATTCTCACAAATTGGTGTTCTAAATTTTTTGCCAAGAACCTAATTAAATAACTGATCATATATATATATATATATATACACACACACACACATATATATATACATATATATATAAAAGAAGGATGTGAAGACACTGAGACAGCAATAGTTTTCTTTTTTTTTAAGAATTATTTCATTTAACATATTTATTATTATTGTTGTTGTTTTTATTTTGACCAGAGAGAGACACAGAGAGAGAGAGAGTGAAAGTAAGAATGACAGTGAGAGAGAGGGGGAAAGTGAAGCCACCAGGTCTGACACTTGAACCGTGGTAGGCCATGTGGGAGTCCAGCACCCCTAACCACCATACCACCTACTGGCCCCAAGAGAGCAATAGTTTTTACAGTCAGATATATTTCTTTCTTTCTTTTTTTGGGGGGGAGAGGTTTTTGCTATAGGGCGCGTGCGCTCGCCAGAAAGACAGAGAGAGACAGAGAGATAGAAAGTGAGAAATCACCCCCCAGAGGGAATGGCCACACCGCAATCCCTTCTCTTACATTCTCCTCTCGGGATCTTGGGCACGCATGCACACGCGCCTGGCGTGAGTTTAAGCCACCAGGTCTAGGACTCGAACCGCGGTCATCTACATGGGAGTTCAGTGACGTAGCCATTATGCTAACTGCTGGTCCCGGATATATTTCTTATGAAATTCTTTTCTATTTTTTGGTTCTTTCATGATGTAATTTGTCCTGTTTCATAATCATTGCTGAGGGTTATTTTTTATATATAATGATTTATTTTATTTATTCATTCATTTATTTTTTAATTTGACCAGAGAGAGACAGAAGGTGAGAGTGAGAGAGAGGAAGTGAGAAAGCAAGCCCCCAAATTCAGGGCTCGAACCCTGGTCAGCCCTGTGGGAGTGTCCAGTGCCTTAATCACCACACCACCTGCTGGTCCCCATCATTGTTGAGTTTTTAACTGACATGTAAGATAAATGTATACAACTGTGAGTTTAACTGTAAAAAGTTATCTAACAGTTAAATTTCAGTCATTTTCTTTTACCTCTATGTCTGTGTACAGAATGCTGAAAGAATTTTAAAAAATCTCTGACTCTGTCTCTGGTGAGCACACATGCCCTATGAAAAAAATTTAAACAAAAAGAATATAAAACCAAGTAAGTCAAAATTATAAATACATAAAAGCTGTATGTTTAGGTCAGCAGGTAGCATACTGGTTAAAGCAGCTGAATCCCACATGGCTGACTGTGCAGTTTGAGTCCTAGGCCCTGAAGCTTTAGAAACATGCCAGGTATGTGTGCACGTATGCCCAAAATTCCAAGAGGAGAATCAAATAGAAAGGATAGAGGCATGGCTATCTCCCCTGGGGGTTGCTTTTTCACTTTCCCTCTCTGCTTCTTTCTCTGGTACATACACACTATAGTAAAATAATACATAAATATAAAAGCTGGAGCCAGGACCAGTAGTTGGCATAATGGCTATGTCACTGGATTCCCATGTAGTTGATCACAATTCGAGTCCTGGACCCAGTGACTTAAACTCACGCCGGGCACATGTGTGTGCATGCCCAAGATCCCAAAAGGAGACTAGAGAAGGGATTGCAGCATGGCCAACCCTCCTGGGGGGTGATTTCTTGCTTTCTCTCTCTCTGTTTCTTTCTGTCTTTCTGGCGAGTGTACGCACCCTATAGCCAAAAAAACCTCTCCAAAAAAAAAAAAAAATTGCTGGAGGGGCCAGCAGGTGGTGTGGTGGTTGGGGGTGCTGGATTCCAACATGGCCGACCGTGGTTTGGGTCCCAGACTTGGTGTCTTGCTTTCTCACTTTCTCTCTCTCTCTGTGTTCCTCTCTAGGCAAATTAAAATTTAAAAATAAATAAATAAGTGAATAAATGAATGAAGTTAAATACAATAATTCTTACTAAAAAAAAAAAATGCTGTAACCAACAGATGGCTTAATAGTTACATCGCTGGACTCCCACGTAGTCGACTGCAGTTTGAGTCCTGGACCCAGCTGCTTGAAACTCACACCTGCTGTTTGTGCATGCAAGCCCAAAGTCCTGAGATAATGGAGGAAAAGGGATTGTGATGTGGCCAACACCCCTTGGTGGGGGGCTGATTTCTCTCTCTCTCTCTGTCTCTCTGCTGAGCACATGTGCCCTATAATAGCACAAAACTCTCAAAAAAAAAAAAAAAAAAAAAAAAAAAAAAATAACCCTC